TGGGCAGGACGCGGGCCGCAGGGCGGGTCAGCTTGCTCCGCACTCGGTCCCGGCCGCGCGGCGACGGAGGCGGGAGCGGGGACGGGGGTGGCCGAGGGTGCGCGCGTTGCGCGGGGTGCGCGCGTCTACAGGTAGCAGCGGCGGGGACCGAGCGGGGACGCTTCGCAGCCACCTCCCCGCCCGTGATTTTCGGAGGCGACTGCTCACTTAGCTGACAGATCTGTAGCCCCGGGAGATCTTCTCGCCCTCTCCGTTTCCACGCGTCTTAGGCGTCTTCCAGTTTCAAGTGTGTGTTTAGGGTTTTTTTTTTTTTTTTTCTTTTCAGTTTTTTCTTTTCCCTCTAAATCTCCTCGGGAATACCGCATATCGAAGCAGGTGGCTCCTGGTACGAAATATTTGGATACATTTTATTTGCCAAGTTTCGCTCTTCCTTGTCCCCTCCCGCTTTCAGAGGCATCTGTGGTGCTTTTCTTTTGGATTTACATGCAGAAAACGTATCTGTGTTTCTGTACCGGCCGGATAATACACAAATACGTACATAAACGCGTACCCAAGCGCCTGCGTTTCGTTCGTCTCCTTCCCGACCGAGAGGAATGTTTTGGAGCCGATGGATAACGAGCACAGTATTAACATTCTTTTGAGGCTGTTTTTGAACAAGGGAGGGGAGCGTGAAGAATTGTTTAACATTCGGCCGCCGTTCGGCTGCACACTAAGCACCGCGAAGTATTTATGGTTGCAGATCGGGTGCAAACCGGGCTTAGAGAGAAAGGTAAGGGAGCTGCCTGCGTGCGCCCAGTCCCGACGTTTACCTTAGCCCTGGGTTACCGGAAACTTCCTTCCCGCTCCCGCCTGTGCCTCGCCTTCCCCACCTGCCGCCCCCCCTGCCCTGCCGTCTCTCTTCGGTTCGCTTAACCTTTGTCCTATTCCTTTGGGCCAAGGGTGGTGGTGGTGGTGAAGGTACCGAAGGTGGAATCCTCTATTAGAATTTAAATGCGTCGCTCTCCTCCCTCCCCCATGAGTAACTGAGTTTTCCAATCCCCCTTCTCAGCAGTTTTCAGAAATGTTATTTTGCCCTTAAAATACAAAAATCAAAAACAATGCCACGTAGATAACTGCTTTAACATGTATTGGTGCCAACTCCTCCCTGCTACCCTCTGAAAAAAATAATAAAAGCAATAAAAAATAATGAACTTTAATGAGCTGGGTGATTTCTTCAGCACTGAGGTTCATGGAACCTCCAAATGCTTCTTTTCATTGAAAAAACAAAAACAAAAAACAAAAAACACAAAACACAAAAAACACAAAAAACTGGAAAAGCAAACCGGCGCCAGGAGGAGACCATAGTGAAGGATATTCAGCTTCCGTTTCTGCATGAAGCAGTACATTTCTTTTGGAGGGTCATTCCCCGGAGTTGAGAGACGAAGCTGAGTCTAGTGTAGGAGAACCTACAGCGCTTAATTCCTGCTTAAATCCGTCCTTTTACACCGCGACCCGTCCTTGCTTAACTCCCCACGCACGGGCACGTTTTCTGACCTGATCTTTTCGGGGGGAAATGAGATCTTCCTCTTGGGTTTCCTTCTCTCCTCCCAACCTCCTTCCTTCCTCGCGGGGCTCCTCCAGCCCTGGCAGTTTGTAAACTGCCCGTCTCGCCACCCCTCCTGGTGGGCGTTCTCTCCGCTCTCCGCTCCTGCCCCCTCCGTCCTTCCTTCATTGGCGCTTTCAGAGCAGATGCATCTTTTTTCCTTGGGCTCCCTCTGTCGCCCCCTCCCTCCCGCGCGCCCGCGGCTCCCCACCTGCCCCGCTCCCCTGGCCGCTGCCCACCCTCAATCCCCAGTCCCAGCCTGCGAGCGGCGGGGCCCAGGGAGAGTGCCCAGGACCCCGGCGCGGAGCGGAGAGCGCGTGGCCGCCGCCGCAGGAGCCGAGCCTGTGCCAGGAGACCCGGCAGGAAAGGCAAGCCGGAGCGGGGGGCCGAGGCCGGAGCCCGTCGGAGCCGGGGAGACCCGGAGACCCGGGTGAAGGCGAGGAGCGCGCAGCGCGCGCCGGCCCAGCCCGGAGGACCGGTGCAGTGGTCTCCAAAGCCGTAGAGCGGCGCCCCTGTGCCTGCAGCTTTTCACCCCAGAGCTGTGCCCTGGGACCAGAGACCGGGAGCTGGGAGATCCTCCGAGAGGTATCCAAGAAAGAAAGGGCAGATTACGAGTGTGCGGGGAGGGCTTCCTGGCGAAACGCGGAGGCTGAGCAGATGGAGGAACAATGCCGCCTCCAGAAGCAAACCTTCGCCTGAGCCCTCGGCGGAGCACGGAGCAGCCGCTGCCAGCCTCCTGCTCTCTCCCCAGGCCCTCCGGCTCCTTCTCGGGTGGGTTCCGCCTCGCAGTTTGACAGGAATAAGAAAGTTGCTCCTCTTCCCCACAACGTTTCCTGCGAGGTGGTTTTCAGACCCGCGTGGTTCCAGTCGAGATGTCACTTTTTAGATCCCCCGCGATGAGCAACTAATACATTATGCAGTATTGGGCAATAAACTCTCCCGGGAAGAGAAGGCAGTCCAAACATTTAAACGGCTCTCCGCTGGCTCCCGCCTGCCTCAGCACAATGCCTTGTGAGTACAAATGGAAAACCACCTGCCGTGAATTTAAAATTGTTGAGGTTGAGATTTTTTTTTGAGTTGGGAATAATTTATACCAGAGGAGGTTGTTAAGATGATAGAAACAAGGGAAATTATGGGTCCAACGTTCCGGCTGGCCTCTACAAATGTATTATTTCTTCTTTTCTGTTTGCAGGGCCGTAGTGATACATGTGACTTGGCGTATATGAATTTAGACCCTGTATCTATCACTCTGCATTTTTATAGATAATTAATCTACTCAATGCCCTCTTTTTATACTAAAACTACAGTAGACTATAATTGCTTAGAGTTCTAATCCTGTATATGAAGTTATCGTCTTCATGCATTTCTGAAAAATTAATTGTGCTTCATTATTAATTGGCTACAGATATAAAAATGCCACTAAGAGAAGGTATGTGTGTCTACGTTTGAATACAAAACCTGTGAAATGTCTCAACATTATCATCAGCCATTGTAACCCAGCAGAACACCAGCTTTTTGAAATGAGTTCAGAAGCAAGGGCTAAGCATGTGTTTAAGATATTCAATGTAAAGTACAAAAGCTTTAAGTTTATTGTGCCCTTGGCAGGGAATGAATCTAAGTGTACCCGAATTGCCTAGTGATTGAATGACTCACCAAGCAAGTGGAAGTTAATCATTACTCAGGCCCTCTGATTACATGGTTTGATTAAAAGAGGTAACTGTTTTCTGTAAGCCTGCTATTCTGTGGTTAGTCTTTCCAATCCTCTTAGGGTAAGCAGAAATTGAGGGAGTCAATCTTTCAGCAGACTGTAGGAGAGATGCTGGAGCCTGGGTAAGAAAAGCGGCCTGGGAGCGCCTTTCCGGAGTCTCCTCCTCACCCCACCCTAGTCCATCCTGTCAGTCTTTATTCCCCCTGGAGCTTTATTTTGTGAAGTTTTCAGTTTATGTCTAGTTAGGGTTTCAAATAGACATGTGTGAATTGTTTGAAGCGGAGGTGGAATACACTCTCACAGAAGGGTAGTTGGGAGAAAACTCCATGCTGTGCGACACACGTAAGTGGTTGGAAGCTGGTTGCCACTCCTTGGCTGGATGGCTCCCTGGAATGGCTCTCTAAAATCTCTTTTAACCCTGAATGTTGCATATACATTTCCACTTTTGCTACTTTCACGTGGTTATCCAGTGGAAACTTCTACATCTTCCTTCAACTTTCCTGAAATTAGCTGTTTAGGCCATTTTAAAAAATAAGATAATTCTTAGCCAAGACTAGAGTATGCAAACGCAAACGTAAGGTCTTTGTTCCTTTTTAAAAAATTAACACATAAATTTTGATGTTATTGACAACTTTTTATGGGAAAATAGTCATACAGAGGAAGGTATGATTGAAACATATATTCCCCTGGATTTTCCTGTGTTGAAAAATAATTTTTAACCTTTTTAGCAAATCTTTGCAGTGGTCTGTCTCTAGAAGTTTAAAAACAATTTACACGGAAGAAATCATTCACAAATTACCCAGAAAATATTAATTTGTAGTTCTTATAAATAAAACATAATGAGAATTAAAATTTAGAAGCTTCAACAGTTTGACAATATACTTTTGCCATGTTTTAAGTTCTCAAGTGAAACTTGAAGCCTCTTTCCATGTGAATAAACTCCAAGTTACTGTATGTGATTGCTGCATTTTATTGTAATTATTTATGAGTATAACTGCCCAAGTTCAACACACTGCATTTATTTATTTATTTTTCTAAAACATGGGTCTGATCTTGTGGATCTCTGTCTAATAATGGCCAATAGTTCTTTAGAGCTTACCTGCCAGTGTCCACAGTCCTTATGACACTCAACTCTTCTCAGAGTTTTAGGTGAAATCACTCTCTACCTAACATTCTTTCCCAATTTATTCTTTAGTTCACCCACAAAACTCTTTACTATTTACCCAAATAGTACCCACCATTTCAGGGTTCTCTGTTTTGCTTATGTCAGTTTTCATCATGTGGCTAGCATCTCGCACATCCTCCAGCCACATGGCAGGAAAATGTTTTCATCCCTCAGGCTTGCCTTTCCTCCGCCTGTCTCCTGCCTTTCTCCTTACTCTGAGTTCTTACCACATGTTACTCATACCAGAAGTAAGCCACCTTTTATAGTCTTGGTGGTTGTCTTCCCTACTGGATAGTGAATTGCCAGAGACCAGAGACCTTACCTGATGTATTATTTTATTCAGAATACTTATCCCCACTTATGAATATAAAGTAGACCATAAATCAACAATATATGTGTTATTTACAAATATGTTTGCTTATTAAGTAACAGATAGGGTATCAGTGAATTAAGCGACTAAAAGTTTGGTTAGTTTCATATAAGAAATCAAGACAGTTGCTTAAGCATTTAATCAGGGAATCAGAGTTCTTCTATCATCTTGATACTTTTTTCACATAATCACAAGATTGTTGCTAAGTCTCCATACTCACGTGTGCCTTTGAATCCTAAAAAAGAAGTGGACTCAAAGATAACAAAGTGCACTGTAGCTCAGTCTTTCTCAACTTTGGCACTGTTGTCATTTTGGAGTGGATACATCTTGTGTGTGTGTGTGTGTGTGTGTGTGTGTGTGTGTGTGTGTGTGCTTCCTGTACATTGAAACATGTTTAGTGTGATCCTGGCCTCTACTTACTAGGTGCCAGAAGAACATCCCACCACTCACCTCATTAAGACAAACAACAGTATATGCAAGCATTGTCAAATGTCCCTGAGAGTTAGATACAATTACCCCAGGGTAAGAACTATTGCAGTAGAGCAGGGAGAGTTCTCCTGTTGTATACTCCCTCTTTTTCTTTATATTGCGGGAGTAGTGAGGATCTGTTTGGTTTTTACTTAATAAATAGTAGAGTACCCTTTCTGAGATTTTAAAAAAGGAGAAAGAAATAAGCAAGCACCCAAATCTACTTTTCAAGAATTGTGCCTTTCTGTCTCAAGTAGACATTCTCCTGGTAGACTTCTACTCTCCAGTTACCTCCAGAGCTCTGTTGCTGGCCATCTTTAGATACCTGAGAGGTAGTGAGATACATATTTTAGTATCTCCTCTGAACAAAATTGGAATTTGTGAGAAATGAAAATTGGAAATGGATTTGAGGTTGAGAGCTAGTAGGTATTGTCACTAATATATAATAAATTAATATGTAAAACTGATCTAAATGCTCAGAAATGAGAACACGTAAAGAAAAAGTAAGCAGCCATAAAAGGTGAACATTATTTTTCTGCATGTTGGTGAAATAACTGCAATACTGTGATTTCTTTTTTCTTTGCACGATATTTTACTTAGAAAATTATGAGCAGAGTGAAGACACTTTCTTACAATTTTCTTTCAGACCTCACCTCATCTTCTCCAGTCTATTGAATAAAGCAATAAAATATTCTATGTATAATTACAAATTACATAGTGGCAAATCATGTAAAAAACCTCAAAGGGTATAAAACACAGACCTGTTGTTTTAATACTCTCTTATGCTTGTATTTAGAAAGTTATTACATGCTAGCAACAGCATTAGGTAAAATACTAGTTTCATGTGCAGAGGTGTTTGCATGGACTCTAATAAGTTTAAGTTGGGTTGCTCAATTATTTAGTCAGTGTATTAATAAGTACCAGGTACCTTTATAGGGAAGAATTCTGTCTTACAAAAAAATGTACTAACTTTGCTATGGATGGCCAATCATATTGTCAGATAGAATTTTTTTTCTGCTTTCTCTTTGATTTATGTTCACCATAATTTTGTTGGATGTCAGTAGCTGCTCATATCAATGTAGGACATATAAGTATAAAGTATAATGTCTATTAGGAAACTTTTGCTAAGTACTGAAGTACCTAGTTAAAGGCCTTAACAAAGGAGATCGGAATTGTGCTGACCCAGAGTTAACTAAATCAGCAACTCAAGGATGACTTCTTCATTGTGATTCTCTTGATTTACTATCATGCGACATGATAATATGGCTATCACAAAGCCAAACATCTCTTCATATAGCCCTACACAGAGCAAAGGAAGGAAAACAGTCTTCTCATGGAATTGTCTCTTTTTATGCAGAAGGAAACTTTGTCCAACAATTATCAGCAGACTTCCCTTTATGTCTGATGGACAAAAACTGTCACATCCCATTCCTAATTAATAGTTTTACAAGAAAGTAATACATTGCATTATCAGGCTTGTAACCACCCCTGGTCCATTCCTTGGAGGCTGGAGGAAAGATCTGTTTTCCCTTTGGATGTGATGGTGTCACACTTAAACAAAAATCAGAGTTCTCTTACCTGGGAAGGAGACAATCACTGTAGCTTCAGGCAACTGACAAGGTATTCCCCACATCTTATGCTTGTCCTCAAATCTCTTATATGATAGAATGCCTATATTAAAATAAACTGCACAGAATAATTACATGATCCTTCAATCCATGAACATAGCCTTCATACCTCTGATGTAGAATACATTCTTTTGTGAGGTGTAGAGTTTTTTGTCTGTTTGTTTTCAATACTATGTGAAAAAGTTGGAAAATATATAAATGTATCCTGAACAGGATAATTGCAAACACTGATTGTGCTATATTGCATGTATAAGTAAAAAACCCTACCTTTTAAACTCCTATCTTTATCAATAATACAAACCACGGTTAAGTCAGATCATGTCCTGTGTCCTCTGTATGAAACAGATCCTGTGACTTTATTTATGTTTGCCACATAATCTTCCCATCATAATTTAGGAACAGTCTGAGAAAGAATAGAATCCTTTGGTCAGTTACTCTCAGGAAGAAGGAATCGACATCAACTCTACTGAAATAAAAATTACTTCTCTGTCTTGTTTACTTGGAGGGTCTAGGGAAGGGTTCAATTTTTAGCTCACATACCAGTAAGCATGTCTCTCACTGAACATTGTAAGTCTTTATTTTTTGAACAAGGAAACCTTTATTTTCATTCTTTAGCCTGATTTCACGGAAGCTCAGAGCCAGTTCTGTGCTTAATTAAAAGAAATGTCCTTA